CGTCCACATCGAAATGTTTCCAAATATCAAGGAACTGGGACGCGGTGACCTCGGCCAGGTGCAGGTGAGGAGGCTGTTGTGCTTTGTTTGCCATGATGATGAAGGTGATGAAGACGCCGCTCCTGTGGGACGCTGCTGCAGGTCAGACACCAGTGATGAAAAAGTGACGGAGAGGAGGGGGAGAAAAGATCCGCCGCTAACTTTTTTCGGTGTCTCCGGCTGAAACAAACTCCTCACTGTGGCCCCTGCTCGCCGCCCCGCCGCTTTTTAACGCGGGCGCAGGAGCGGCAGCGGCGCCGCGCGGCCGCTGGGGGCGCACCGGCAGCGTCTGAGTCAGCGCATCTGCCCGTGCGCGCGCGCGCGCGTTGCGAAGCTGCGTGCGTTTTTTTTTTTGCGATAGGACTGCAGTGGACAGGGTGATGTGTGCTGAAGACGCAGATGGATCAACTGTTCTCTTGTTGCATCAGTTTTCCTTTGCAGCAGCTCCCCTGTGGACGCGGTGTTTTTTGATCTTGTACGCGCGTGCGCGCACGAGACCTCTGTGTTCAGGTCTGAGAGAGGTGTGTGCGAGCGTGCAGCCCCTCTCCAATGTATGTGAGAGTCTTCTCAGACTTAATTAGAGCTTCACACACTAATCACATTTCCCACACAGCCCCCAGCCAGCGGTGATTAGCCCACATAACAAATGTAAATTATGAAAAAAAAAAAGAAGACGAGAAGTGGGGAGGGAGGGTTTTTCATTAATGGGCAGTCTAGTGTGGAGGGGACACAGATTCATGCTCACATATATTTCTTCAACTCATTTACTGCAGGAGGTCATAATATCCAAGATGAAGTAATGATACTGTAATGAGCAGTAGGACTCCCTGAAGCACCTCACTGATCTTCAAACAGACATCATTTCACTTATGGAACATTATTTATCCGGTTCAGATGCATGCTGTGGCAAAAAAAAAAAAAGTGAAAGAAATTAAGCAGGTCAAGCAGACAGCCGTCATGTAGTGGCTGCAAAATAAAATGAATGATGGGTTTGGCTCAGAAGCTGTAGGTTGCTCACCTCTGACTTAGCAGATAAAAAGTGCAATCTTATCTCAATACAATAAAAGTGCAAGACCTACATTTCTAACTTATTGTAAAACTGTGAAGGGAAGAAATGAATCTGATCCAAGGGAGCAATTAGCTGCGGTTTCTATGTCAGCACATATCATCATAAGACTTTGTTTTAGTATTAAGTGTCATAATTTGTGGTTTTGGTGGTGGTGAGGATAAACGTGGTATTATTCAACAAAATAACCATCATTATTTCATTATTTCTGATGAACAGTGATGGTTTTAATGAGGAAGCACAAAAATCAAGGAAGCACAGGGAACAGAGACCCGGGTAGACACTTTGCATCACACACGACACGACAGTCAAGACACGACAAGGATCCTTCAAGGACCGGGGAACACAGGTGGGATTAAATACACAAGGGGTAATCAGAGAACACGAGAAACCGCTGGGAGCAATCAAGTGCAGATCAGACAACACAGGAACTAAATTGACACATAGAAAAACCAAATCCTCACATGAAGTCTTCACTACAAGAGCCGGAACAGGAGCACTGGCCCCTCTGGGCCCCGGTCTAGAACTGCCATGAGCTTAATCAGATTGATTGGAGAGCCTCTGTGGACGTAAATTCTCAAGCCTGTCAGCAACATTTAGTGGATTTAAGTCTCAGCTTTGTCCAGGTCATTTGAACACATGAATATGGGTAAGAGATAAACTATTTTATTGCAGCTCAAACTGCCGGTAAACTAATCCGCTGTACCATTCTAACAACCAGTGGCAGGTTTTCTTCCATGTTTGACCGGGCACCTTTTCTTCCTGAATTTCCAGATCTTTATCATTAGCCTGCAGACTTGCTGACCACATTTGGATACTGTGACGCATTCTTCACTACATCAGAACTTCTCACATTGGAGTTCTTGATTTTCCATGGAAATCGTCTCAATGTTGCAACATTGTCGACTGCACACGCAGCCATGTGAGTCCAAATGCAGACTCTCCACAAAGTCAAGATGGACACATGACTTTCTTTAGTCAAGCCCATCTCTTCACATCGATCAGTTTGCCGATCAGATTGAATGTTTTTTGCAACTTCCTCTGAATTTATTGGGACCGAACCTACAAGACATTAATTACTTTGGCTGAAATATGGAGAAAATTAAATCAAACAAATATTTTTATTTTTACAATACTCTAGAATAATTTAAAATGCACCTCACAACTGCATAATAATCCATAACCAATTTGAACTTTCATCATAAAAATTGAAGCTGCATAATGTGTCAGTTTGTAGAATGTGTGGTATAGATTGAGTGTTTGAACTAAGTTTTGTTCTTTTTCCATTGTGACATGTTTGGGGGGTAGTTAGGAATGTTTGATGTTGCAGTAGAGAAGCGTTGCATTCCAGTTGTCTTCCAACTTTCTCCTGTCTGCAACAGATTCAGAAATAATATTTTATTATATTCTCATATTTTCTTTAGCTCTATATTCTCCTCTTCAGTCTTTTTTCTGCATTCATTTCCATAAATCAATTCTGCCCGGTGAATGAACAGATGATAAAATACATAAATAAGATGCAGATTGTTTTTCTTTTTCATCTCCATCATGCAGTCTTTTTCTTCCCGTGTCCCAATCAAAATCACGGAGCCTGTCAATTTTATTTATTTTTTTAACAAAAGTGGTGCAAGAAAAGTGGTGCAAGAAACCAGGTTATCACAGATTGTGCAAATTGAAATCTGAGACAGTTCACATCACGAATATTTTGAGATCTGATTTTCCAGACAAGTGACTGTCATTGACAACCACATTTTGCTTCTTTTCGTTTCGTAGGTAGTAGTAGCAGTTGGAGTCCAAATGCAGACTCTCCACAAGACTGAATGACAACAGACTCGATTGAAGTTCACGATTAAAAAGTAAAGGCAAGCCTTATATAAAGACATAACTGAACTGTTTCTGCATTATGCAGCTTTGGTGTGATAGATTAAGATTAATGTCCAAATTAAAACTGCTGTCAACAAATTTAAATGATCAAAAAAACAAACAAACCTCCCAGCGACTTGGCATCACTGCCCTGAGTGATGCATTGTTGAACTTGACCTGTCACATCTCCACAGAAGTGGAGCAGTAATTTTCCAGATCCAGCCTGCTCACAGGTACAATGCTGACAAACTGCTGGCAGCCAGCTGTGAAGGCAGTAAACAAAAGTTAGCAGAGATTGATTTAATTCAGTAATTATTATTATTTTTTCGTCTAAAAGACATACCAAGAAAGTGAAGCGCTGAAAGATAAATGATGTGCATGCAGTGGGTGAGGAAGGTAAAAGACTGGACGTGAGATGGTGTTTAAAAATGTAAACTCAGCAGACCCGTCCTGCTCAATTTCCTTGGCTTCTCTTTGCGCCCCAATCAATATCAGAACCTATAGGCTCAGTTGGCGTGGCGACAATAGATGGATCAACACTAGATTACAGATGAGACCTGTCGCCAGGCTGCACAGACTGTCGAGTAAAACACACTCACTGATGTTGCTGTCATCATCTGTCCTTACAAACACACTTTGTACTTTTTGTGGAGTATTTATAATTCTGTGTTTTACTCACAACGCACAGTAGCCGCTGTGAGCTCAGTTTGGGGAAGTCAGGGAGGAACTGAGGGATTATATTAAAGGTCTTTCAGAAGCATTGCAAAATTTTCACCAACTGAAGTGACTCAAAAACCATAACGCAAAATCAGAAGCAAATGCGATGAAGTGCACTCACTGATGCTCATTTGGATACATTTGGCCTTTTTTCTTTTGTTTGTTGAACAGATTAAATAAAGTGAAAATCCTTGGTTTTTGGTTATTGTCGATGTGGCAGCTTTACACTTTATCTGCTTGTCTTTATCTGCTGCACATCAATGATGCAAATTTCCTTTTCCACCAAGTTTCGAAGGAGCTCTATTGGATTATAATCTGGATCACAAACTTTGGAGGTCAGTAGACGACAGTTCATTTATTGTCATGTGCAAAAAAACCCACCTTGAAATTATTTGAACTATGTGACATGGTACTCACTGTCAATGCTGTAGCTGAAATGGATACACATTGGACCGGACCCTTTTTTTTAAAATAATCTGTCCTTGTTCAATTTTTGTGAGCCTGTAAGAAAAATAGTCTCTGGTACCTTTTCTTAATCTACAGGAATTGGCTTTCAGCTGCTGTAGCCCATCTGCTTCAAAGTTTGGCATGTTGCACATTGAAAGATTTAATTTATCTTTGGTGGCAGTGAACTGAGTTACTATTCCCAGAGTTGATTTTTGGTGTCCCAGTTTCATGCAATACAGTATTAGACTTTCTTCTTAATAGGGACCAATCTCATAGCTTTCAGCCTGGTTCTGATATTGTGAATTAACCCCGAATCTTGAGATTTGTGATCACTGAATGCCATGAACTGTAACTGACCACTTCTTTATAGATACCATAAAAAAATAACTATTGCTTTATATAAATAGTCATTTTCCCTTTTCTTACCAAACAGATGGTTGTTTACATCGTGTCTTTGTCTCACTTTTTGTCGTGCTGTTAAGGAGCAAATGCATGTAAATGCATCTTGGACAAACACACGACACTGCCCCCCTCATTTGTGTTAATATTTCAGCTACCCAGTCAGTTGAAAATCTACAAGCTGCATGTGGATGAATAATGTAAGAGAATGGTGTGGAGCACAGAACAGCCATTTCCCCTTCACCCAAGCCTCACAGCTACTTCGTCGGTTTCAAGTGTGGCTAAAGTGGCAGATGGAGAGTGAGGTGAGTGTTGGTTTGCCCTCATCTCCCTCTTAGCTGATCTTCATTATTAGACTTAGGAGAAGAAACTCTTCTTCCCTTTGAACACTAGTTTTGTACTTCTCACTCACACACATTGTCAAACATAAAAAAGCCAACATCCATTTCAGAAAATACCGGCGCTCAAATGTGTTCTGTATTTGTTTTTTATTTGAAAGCAGCAACATTTTTCAACAACATTGTTATTGTGCACATTAAAGTGTAAGTGAACTGGTTTAAAACCTGGGCGCTAGATACCGTCAGCAGTTGGAGACACGCAAAGCAGTTCCAGTACAATTAAAAAGAAGAGCAGTTTGAAAATAAGACCTGCGACAGACTGGCGACCTGTCCAGGGTGAACCCCGCCTCTCACCCGGACAGTTAGCTGGAGAGGCACCAGAACCCCTTCCGGGCCCCGTTAGAAAACAGAAGGAAGAAAATAATACTAAAACGATTCAAAACCTTGAGTGATACACACTTATTTACAGAAAATAGCACCTTTCTGATTTGTGTTCACTTTTACCCCTGACAAAAGATTGTGTTCGTCTTGAAAAAGGGCAACATGTTTGCTTCATTTTGAGTGTAATTTCCCTTTAAGACTTCCATTAGCATCCTGGTGTTCTGCCTGATCCAAATGGTTTAAGAGGTTGACTGCTGACCCTGTATTTTTTTGCCCTTTTCAGCTCTAATGAATGAGACAGTCAAGGAAAGCTGGCAAGTGTTTCCAAAGCGGTACAGAGCAGATTGAAAACTGCAGGTCGGGGTACTAAACCTCCTTCCTGTTATTACACTGTTGTCTTTGCTTAGTGTGCAAATTGGATCCCAGCAACTGTACCTCCATATAAGTAAATTGTAGTGATCAAGGGTAGCTTTTCATGTCAGTGAGTTATTGAAGATTATTATAAGATTACTAACAAGAAGCCTTTCCACTTTCTGGTGAGTGTTCTAAAAATGATTCAGCTCATAATTCAATTCTAAAGAAAACAAAAATTGTTTTCTTAATCATAGTTGCATTCATCAATAAATTACTCTGCGATTTACACTAATTTAGAGCAAAAATAAGTACTTTTGTGCATTGTTAATTACAAATAATTACCCTTCACTCCTGTGAATAGCAGCTAGTGTAGATTCACTATTCTAATTTGGTGGAAGCGCACTGCTTTCTTTAGCTCTATTTTAGTAAAAATGCACCGATGGCTATACAATATGATCTAAAATTATCTCCGAACTAGTTAGATGACTTGTAAAGTTACCCTCCAAGCATGCATAAAGTCTTATATTAATTACAACCAATACACTCAATCTAATAAACAAGGTTAGCCGTCAAGTATGCCAAACAATTTAGATGCTTGATCATTTAAGGCATGACTCAGCAGTCAAATACTACGACTGTGGAGACAACATTACTGTGTTCCTGTTGTTGTTCCTGCATGTGGAGTTTCTGAATGGTAATTTAAAATGTTTTCACCATCACCAATTGTACTTCAAAGAATGAACTTCCTAAAAACAATATTCAGCTTCCCCCTAAATTTCTTATTTCCGTTTCCAAACATTTCTCTAATGACACACATGATGATCAGTGTTACAGAGTCGTACCACCAGCTATACAAGTGTAGCTTGATGTAGATTACTTTAGACAGTATATAAAAGATATAACAGTAAAACGTGAGATGAGAACCTGCAGAGGTTGTCCATTAATGTGCAAAACAGGTCATCAAAGATGTATTTTTTAAGTTAATAGATTCTCATTTCAACCTGGCCCCTTGTCTGGACTTTACTAGTGACAAAAAGATGCTCAGGTAATTGTTAGTGGAAAATACATAATTTTAGCTGTGCAAAACAGGCATTTCCAAAATGACCTATCTTCAATTTTGACAGGCATCAAATTAAAGATACAAATAAGGTAAAAGGCTGTTCCAGAATGTCTCGGTTGGTACTGAAGTTTTCCAAAACAACAAACTGAAACTTTTGAAAAATTATTTTCTTCACTTTTTTTTGGTTTTATGTGCAAACTTGTTCTAGAGCGAATCGCGGGTCAGTTCTTGCTCAGTACACATAAAAAGACAATCATAGTATTTGTTGTTAAAGTAAAACCATTTGTTTGTTTTCACAATGTTTTCAGCCTCATACGAACTTAGTGTCTTAAATCTTGAATATGCACAGCGTAGCAATTCCATTACCAAGAAAATATATTATGCTTATATATTTGTATATATATAAAAAATATATATAAAGACAAGGGGCTTCTTTATATACTTGCAACCTTTGAACTGATCATTATGCAGCCCCATGATGTGTAAAAGTATTTGTAGTTTTGAAGATTTCCCATTTGCACCTTTTGATCAAAGCTAAGAAACTGTTGTGTTTTTTGTTGTTAGAGCAGATCTCAGATCGGAAGATATTAGAGCTTCGGGATGAGCTGACCAACAAGCCTCTGAAGGTCCTTGGCCCGATGCTCGGTTGTCTTCAGCACTTCCTCGTGGTTTGCTTTTTCACTGCTTTCATAATCTATCACAACCTTGTTGGTGATAAGGGACAGACCCAAAACACGCAGTCCGCAGTGACGAGCCACCACCACCTCAGGAACGGTGCTCATACCTGGACAGGAAGCACATGCTGCTATTGAAAGAGATGCAAATAGTAGCTTTTCAAGTTATGCAGACACTTATTAGATGTTCTGAGACTGAAGCAGGAGTGGTGGATTTTACATTTTACCACTATTTTGGCTTTAAATCTTCTCAACAAAGTTAATCTGGCTAAAACTTGAATGATTAGGCTTTTCTGTCCCGCTGTTGCAGATCGACAAGCAACTTGCTCTTTTACATTTTGGTAATCCTGCTTTGTTTGCTGGTACTTCCTGTTCCATAGAGTCAAAGTTCTGACCACATTTACATGCAGTTTGAATATCTCGTGTATGCGCTGTCTGTCTTTATAAAAACAAAGTATTCACATTTAGCTTAAAGTCTGTAATTCATTTCAATAAATTTCCAAAGCAGACATCTCTTGGAGGGAGCTTCAGCTGTACCCACCCACAGCGTCAGCCCCGAGCTTTTGCAGAGCTCTGCACTCTGCAATAGTCTCGTATGTTGGCCCGGCCAGCATGCAGTAAACGCCTTCCTGGAGGAAGCTCCCACAGTCATGCTCCTCCGCTGTTTTCTTAGCCAGGACCATCAGCTCTCTGTCATATGCATCAGACATGCAAGGGAAACGCACTCCAAACCTGCAGCAACAGTAAATGAATGTGTCGTACTTCAGTGTACTAGGCACAATGTCAGAGTGCATTGTGCATTTCTGCTCTACCTTGTGTCATTGTGTCCACACAGAGGATTCTGGCCAGCAAAGCCAGGCATGTTGATGTGATCCTTGATTAGCATGATATCCCCCACGCTGTAACTACCATTGAGGCCGCCGGCGGCATTTGTGACGATCAGAATTTCCACGCCAAGCAGGAAGAAGACTCTCACTGGGTATGTCACCTGCAAACAAACATGATCTGCATTCATGCTTTATTGTCTGCGATGTGACGACAGAAAAAGGAGGCATGCTGAGAACAAATCACATGAGAAGTTAATGTTTCATAGCCTGAGCAAAATGTTATTACTGTACACATTTCAGCAACTGCTAACCTTTACTGAACAGCTGATGGCCTATAAATGACAGCTCCTCCCCTTCATGACAGGCATGATTGAGGAATAGCTTTTTCCATTTTCTAACATAATGCATTTTCAATGAAGGCATGTTGTTAGTTTAAGCAAAAATATTTTCTATGAGCCCTTAGATCTTGATAAGGTCAATGCTGTCACTTTAGAATAGTGCCATATTTTGTTGGGGTTCTGCATATTATAAATGCAGTCTTTGTTAAGAACCTGCAGCCCACACAGGATAGGAGGTGTAGAACCACAGGGTGTGTGTGTGCATGTGTGTAACAACAAACTGATCTCAATAATGTGTTGAAATTATTTTTAAAAATGTTTCCCTGGAGGATTTAATGAGGTAATACAAGTAAACATGCAGGAGAATAAAAAAATCAATAATTAAAAACTGAATTTATATCACTAATTACATTTCAAAAATAAATCTCAAAAGTATATTAATTACAAACAGCTCTATATTTGAACAATCTGTTTATGTTACTTTTGATAATTAGGGTTTGGAGCGAGCGAAAAACAAACTGTAGCAAGGTTCAGAAATACGAACATGACACCCTCAACAAAGGGGATAATCCAGAAGGTCTTTGATAAAGAAGCTGTGTGTTCACAGAGTGTTGTGTCAAGCATATTAATGGAATGTTGAGGGAAAGGAAAAAATGAAGGTTGAAAAGGGTGCAGAAGCACCTGGCTCAGTGAGCTCCTTGAGATTCATAAGATGAGGACTGAGAATACAATCAGTACTTCTAGAGCTACTTCAACAAGAAGTGTTACCTTGAGAAAAAAAATGTTAAAGGAAAATGAGCAATACTGAATTTAAAGCAAGAATTCTCCTTGTGCATGTATGAGTTCTCTCCTGGTACTCTGGCTTCCTTCCCTTTCCTGGGTGTTTCTGTTTTGTCCTGTGATAAACTGGCAATACGTTCAAAATGTGTCCTTCCTTTTGCTCAAAGACAGTGGAGACTCTGCCAGGACAGGTGGGTATAGAAGATAGAGAGGTGGACAGATGTCACTTTGTTTTCTCAGGGGTATTTTATTTAAGACAATTGGTCAAACAACAGAAATCACAAACTGCTGGGTAAGATAGAGAACAACCTGAATTGATGTGGCTGAACTTTGTCTGCTGGCTCACCTCCCAGACTTTTAAAATTGGAAAGGGCTCCTTTTCTGAAAATTTCACAGAACACAATAAATCTGCAATCCTCCACCACTATGCATTCTTCATTTCGATGGATGTTATATATGGCCTAATGTGCTGTACAGGAGGCCTTTAATGCATCTGTCCTGCTGGTACTGTATTCATGAACCAGAGTTTTATGATACTGTCAAATTATATGGGCTATTTCATGAGGAGATGGCACATGAAAGCCGGTAGTAAAGTAAAACTAGTAGCCAGGGGCCAAAGGCCGGTGTTTCATTGGCATTCTGACACACAATGGATGCTTTTCGACTGATTAGTCAACGCAGCAACACAATTTTTAGCCAGAAGTGTAGCCACAAAAATTGCCTGGGTTTTGCCATGTTGGAAAAGCAAAACATGTAAATACATGTCACAACTAAGGTTTAGATCTAATGCTTAAAGGTAGAGTTAGAGATTTCTCTTGGATTATTCCAGAATTTCCATAAGATGGAGTTCAGCTTCACTTAAAAAGTATGAAGAGGAACAGTACAAATTTCAGAATAAGTGAAGGACAGAGTTTAAAGATCAACTGCAGAGCCTGTGAATGTTTGCCGCAATGTGATTGACAAAGTCAGAGATTAAACTGCCAGCTTGACATCAGTCACCCTGGATAGTATATCATTTGCATCAGCAAAGGTCTGAAAAGGAAGAAGAGGCCAATGTGCATTTCAGAATAACAAACAGCGAAGAAATAAGTCTTATGATTCTCTCGTGTTGTTTTGTCTTTAATCATTTATTGTTTTTTTCTTATATCTTGCCAGTTTAGTTTATTAATTGTGTTAGTTTAGCATTTGTTGCTGTTTTTTCTTTGGATTTATTTCTTTGTATTAATATTTATTTCTATTTATGGTTCAGGTTTTCTTTTCCCTTCCATTCCTTTTGTTTCCGTTTGTTTTTTCACTTCACTTACCAGTCTGCTCCCCATCGCTGATGATTATTTCCTCATTTCTCCTTACCTGTATTCTTTTAATTAGTTCTGCTGATTTTTGTTTTCACTAAATTAAATCTATGCTTAATTTAGTAAAAACTACATGAAGTTTATTCTACTGACTCTTATATTTTATCCTGTTTTATTTCTTGTATTTTATATATTGTATTTTCTTTTATCTATTGTAAAACACTATGGTTAGACTAGTGGTTACTGTGAGGGGTTATAAAAATATATTTTTTATTATTATATTGATTATTAAAATGTCCTAAAATTTAGGCCAGTAACAGTCATTACTAAGTAATAAATTATACAACAACTAAATCCCTAACAGTAATTTAGGCAACAACCAAGGCCTAAATAAAAAAATAGACACTTTTAGGGTATGTGAAAAACAAATTAAATGCAGATAATCTCTTTTGTTATTATTAAAGGACGCCATTTAGAAATACTGGCAGAAACAAACAAACAAACAAACAAACAAACACAAAAAGATTTCCAGTCTCACTCAAAGAAATCTTATTCTCAGAAACACCATTGATTTGAAGCACAAGTAGCCAGCGGTGCAAGAGGCTCGGACAAACATTGCACAAAGACAAAAGTAATATATTTAGTAGTTTACCGTGTGAATGTTGTAGCCCTCGTAGAAGTGAAATCGACCCTGCATGCAGACACACTCGTGGCCGTTCAGCTTTCCAAACACCAGCTGGCCTGAATGACCCTGCACTGCACAACACATGGACAGAATGAACTGCTGCTACGAAGCACTGCTGGTTTTTAATAAAAGATTTGGGAGTTTGTCTAAGCATGAAATATAGACTCGATTTTTTGTACAAAACCTTTGTCAATTTTCCAACAAGTAAACTGTGTTAGACCACTGAGTCCAAAATAGTAAATGTTTATTCTAATTAATGAGAAGCAGTGATCTTGAACTACTTTATTAGGCTGAAGTGCTGGGCTCCAATCAGTTGGAATCAGGTATCGATGCCCAATTTGTTTGAAGTACCTAGTAAGGTTAAATTGTTTTTCCGGAGTGCATTATGACATTGATAATAAGAGGCTTCTCCAGATACAAATCTGCAACATACTGTGTAAAAATATTGGACATTTAAGTTTTTGCTTCCCTAACTGTGAGCTGTTGTCCAAATAAATGTCATACACACTAAAATTCAAGAGTGACCCAGCGTAACTTCTCTGAAACAGAAAGCTCCCCTCATTAATTTGAGATGCTTGAAAACACTAATATCTGGATGAGTGAATCCACTTTTGCCTATGGAAATCATTTTTAATTTTAAGATCTAATTAAGATGAAACCATTTCTTAAGCTTAAAAAAAAGCCTTTTAGTTTGCATAAAGAAAAATGAAGGAAGACCTTCATCCCATCTGTTGAGGATGGTAGTGATAGAGCATCATGCTTTTGCTCATTCTTTTTAAAACAGTAGCATGGTGACTCTCCGAAGTTGATTGATTGATGCATATTATGAAATAAATAATTGGAAAGGCTGGTAGAAATTAGAAAAACAAAAACACAATTAGTGCTTAAAGACCTTAACATCCAATCTATATTTCACCTTACAATTTAGTTGAAGAATTTTATAAAGCAGCTATAATTAACTTGGTCATATTTTATAATATATCAATCTTTAAGAAAATAAGCATCTTACCGGTGCTGGTGGGGAAACGTGGAATGTCTTTATATGGGAATATTTTCTTGTCATCGAGCATCTCGGCCAGACCGCCCAGGCCTGAACCACAGATGATGGCCACTTTAGGACGATTCTCTGTTTGCGACAGCAACCAGTCCGCAGTCTCTTTGTACTCTTCATAACTGTAACTGAAAATGTAAACACATCTCTAAATAATTGTGGGCGACACTGATTGGTGAAAAGTTCAATATAAGAAGCATTTGATGTTGATCTAAAAGATGTACAGACCCCATTAAAACACCAGCTTTTTTGTGATGTATAGATGAGACCAAGACAATGATTATTCCATTATTTTGACATATTCTGTGCAATTCAACAAAACATTCAAATCTGTCAGTATAAAAATATAAATTATAAAAAGGGTATAATCACTTGGTAGCATCAGTGTGCACACACAAAAAGTAAGACTTTATGTAATTTAAATAATGCATTGAATTCTTTGAAAATCAAATACGATTAATTTACTAAACCCAAAGTACAGTTCAGCTCCCATTGCATGATTTCACTGAGATTTGCTCATTTACATTCTTTAGCCAAACCCATAGTTTACAGAGAAGTGATAAATATTTAAAAGGATCTCATTATACACAGGTGTCAGTCCTAAACCTTTCACACCAAAATGGATGACAGTGACAGCACACTAAACTTCTTTTCACAGTGGATGAAAAGACACAACGGAAACTGGTCATGGAAGAGACTGGTGGCAACACTGACGACATAAAGGAAGTTTCCAGCAAACAACTGGTGTTGTTCTGCGGGTGACAGGAATCTCTTGTGTTCTTCTAATGTCCGGGGCAATATGCTTTAAACCTTATTGAGGAAGGTGTTTAAACCAAACTGAAAGATTTTGATCAGTAAATGTCCAACACAAACACATCATTGCATATCAACAAAAGACTGCCCGAGTGAACTAGTGGTTGGAACCATAGAAAGTCTCTTGGGAGTTCAAAAACCAGTTTGACCCAAAACCATCTCTGATAGGAAGCCTTTTTTTTTTTTTTGCATACAAATAGGATGGTCATACATCATCAGCAGAGAAGACTGGATCCTGAAACAGAATCAAAAAGGTGCGTGAACAAAGTAAAGTTGTTCATGATATGTGTCACATTAATTTCATTAATTGTGCAAAGCATTTTTTACATTAATTGGGATGTGCGTGCTTTTCAGCCCCGAACGGTAAGAATGACAAAGTATAAAGGGTCTGAGAATTCTGGTGGTATTGTTAAGCAGATGACATCAACTGTTGAGGTACACAGTAGAGAAAGAGACACTTCTGTAAAATGAACATGCCGGGTACTGAACGAAGACACAATCAGCTCCAGTACATAAATTGAAAAACAAAAACAGTATGCTGACTCAGGCGCTCGTGAAAAGACACACACCGGTGAAAAACAAGTTCCTCTGGACTGACTCAGATCACAAAGTAACTATTAAAACTGCAGAGAGTGAAAAAAAAAAAGATCTCAAAGTAAGAAAAAACTCATTAAGGCCCGGTTCAAGTGATTATCATAGAACTCGGAGTACTAGTAAGTTTAACTAATACACTTATGTAACAGTGTTGGGGTTTTCTGCATTCTGCCAGAGAAATCATTCTTCCCAGATGTTGATTGGATTTGAAATGCCCCAAGGTGCTACATTAAACAAAGTCAGAAACAGTGTGTAATTCTAATCATAAATCTGTGTGAAGCGATCACCTTGTTAATGTTCCCTCTGTACCCGAACCTTTGTTATTAAGACGAAGTGAGACTTCAGGCTGCAGTGTTTTCAGGAAGCGAGCCTGATGACTTTGAGCCTAATTTGGAGCTGCCATCTAGGATGACTGCTGCATCTGAGTAGCCCTGGGAGCTTTGTCTTTCCAGGTTTTGCCCTTGTTCTCTTTCTCAATTCTAAACTCAAAACCAGCTTTAAAACAAATGATCAGGTATAGATTTTCTGTCTCTTTAGTGATTTCTCATTCATTCTCGCAAACATTTAAGCAGCTCATGCATATATTCAGACTGAGATGAATAGGTTTATGCTTTGCATCTTGACTCACTTCACAAAAAAAAGGACTTGCAAATTTTTCTTTTTCTGAGTTTGCAACCTGTAAGTTAGAATGCCACTTTTGCAAACAAACACCACAGAGACAGTTGACAGACAAGTGACAACTTAGCTTCTGCTGTCATTCATTGGCAGAATGCAGGTCACTTAAAGAGAGAGCTGGTTTCAAAATAAGTTATTTATAAACCCACAGAAATGAAGCATCAGCAGCAGATTGTACAATATGTAGCCAGTCTATAAAACCATCCTTTTAAGCAAGAATAATAAAAATGAAGAAGGGTGTCTCACACCATGAAAAAAAAAAATCTGTTTGCAAACTTTTATTCTTATGAAACATGGTGCTTTACTCTACCAGCAATGTGTGATTGATTGCAAACCTCTTTTCAAAGAGTGGTTAAAAAACTGTGCACAGATTTTAATACCCATCTCATTTCCTTTCACAGCGGCAAACTTAAAAATGACAAAAGACGAGTGGCTGAGCTGTAATATTCAAGGGAACATACACTAAAACATTAGCAGTAGCGTATACATATATCTGAGCCTGAATGTATAATTCTGGCCCTGCGTGGATTAGAAAAAATCTAAAATATATTCAAACTTGTACATCCAACTTTTGTTTGTTGCAAAAATACTTCCACCATAAAAGGTGTTTTAAATAAAGGCAAGAAAGCCCTCAATTAATACGACAAACATGTAGATGATGAGTGTATGCAGACTGCTAGCTGATATATACTTGGATGAGGCTTCATGGGTCAAAGTTGAGTGGCTTAAAGAAGCAAATAAAAGCAAAATTAATAGAGACGTTCTCTCAAAATGGCAAGGAACAGGATGCCTTCTTGTGGATCAGTGAAGTCCACGAGATCTCCAGAGGCCTTATTCTATTTTGATTTATATTACTTTTAAAAATAACTGCACGATCTGTTAATATTTTGTATAATGAATAGTAACTAATAGCAAACGCCATAAATAACAATCAGTGACCCCTTTGTTTTGATTGACATCGACACTACATTTATTTATTTTTTAATGAAACGCCAAACTAATCTCCCAAGAACTTAAGAACATCTTAAGTAACGGGAGGCCAGTTTCTGCGGGGTCTCGTTCGGAGCTGTCCGTGGTGCTGTGGGGCTTCTGCACTCATGGAGGCCTCACTGACAGGCCCTTTGTTTCTAATCTGAATGAGTAAACGAGTTTAACCAGTCAGGGCTGTTGCTCATAGCTCCAAAGCTCTGAATGTGAAACAGGTTTTACTGCAAACATTAAACATGTTTCCGGAAAGACTAGCTGTTCCGTAAACAAAGTTAGGATAATGCACTTTATGCCAATAAAAGAAAATTGAAGATTTTCTGGTCTGTATTCTGCAGGAATATACCGCCTGTAATCCAACGTGCTTACGTCATAGGCAGAGAAAATGTTTGATTGGCTGCTGTAATCCTTAGAATAAACTGTCATGACACCTCAGGTTGGCTTTCTGTAAACAGCACTGAACTCGCTTCCTGCAAATGTACAACGTCGACACGCTGTAATATGCTAATAACAGCCATCTCTCATAGGCTACGTAAATATGGGGCTCGTTTCAGTGGCAGCGTCCAGCCGTTTCCCGTCCTACCTGCACTGACTGGAGGAGGCTGCGTCCATGTCCGATGGCGATCTGCTGATAAGGCGGGTGTTTATGCTGCCGAAGTCCGGGTTCTGTCGGTGTTGGGTTCACGGCGGTGGAACCGGTCGGAGATGGAGCCTGCGGACGGAACAATGCTACGCGCTGACGTCGGTTCACATATGATGAACAGGCGGGGCGTGGTCAGCTAACGGGTCACCAGGCTGGTTACTCACTGACCCGAACAGTGGCAGACAGAGCTGGAATTCTGTTTGACGGGACATAACACGGGAACTACGGGAAGCCATTGGAAGACACCGGAGGGGATGAACCGAGGCTACAGTGTCAATTAGTTATGACATGTTGCCGAACATTAGAGCTCAGACCATCATTAATGCAAACAAATATGATTTTCAAAGTCCAAAATAAGAGAGGACACGATGCGCTCAAACAGGCTGTTTAGTTTTACTCTCACTTTTAACAGTGCTTCACAATTCAAAGTGCTGAGTCAGGTGTTGGGAAATGAAAATGAACGTGACAGTGACAGAAAGCAGAACAACTACATCTATGGAGATAATAATAATAATATTAATTATACAAAAAACAAACCCTGTAATTCTTCTGTCACTACAAATATTTTATTTTCAGTAATCGTGAATCAACAATGTTTTATTTAAATGATTTAAAAGAAACTTAACTCAAGCTGTTGTCCTTATATTATTATCTCAAGACATACCTCCTTCCTATAAGTTACAAAGTTGTTTTATTTTTATACAGTTTATTTATAAATCAGGGGTATATATCATGGGTATTGATAGCTGGGAGTTGGCAACAAATAAACAAAACTGATGCCTTTGAAGCTGTAAAAATGTTGAAATAAATAATTTTCTGATGGCAGGACGAGTCTATCAGAACATCTCAGAGATTCCCTCTCCTGTTTGTTCCTAGTCTATAATGACAACATAGCCCAAGAAACAAACTGTAGAAAACCAGCCACATAATCATGCCAAGGCTGTAGATGCATGTATGCTGGTCTGATGAGTAATACTTTCTTTTGCACAATGTGATTGGCCAGGTGCATGTGTGTTCTTTACCCCGGAAACATCAGTGTAATGCATTAGACAGACAGGCAGACTGGAGGTTGCTAAAGTGGTTGTACTCTTGTTTAACCCCATAGTTATGTACTGCTGCTGCTTTGTATTTATGTGTCATGTACTGTAATATTTTTATTACACTTGAATATAGCAAGGATGGCAAAGAAGAAACTTCGATCAAAGAAAAACAATGATGTTGATTGAAATTCTGCAGATTTAGCCATCAGATAATAGATGCAGTTAGTTGTATCTGACATCTCTGGAATATTATTTGTCCAAAAAAGAAAAGACGAGTTCCCCTGTGGAGTAGTATTGAAAGTAGAAATTAATACCGCTATCAAACCAAAGTATGAATTGGTGTCTGTATTGTAGTGTAGTAGTGTTTTTTAGATACCCATTTTATTCTTGTGCGAACTTGCCTCTGTCAATATGGCGAACGTCCTGACGTATGTCTTCTACTGAACGACGACGCCATAGAAACAGCTTGAAACTCTACCAGCCAATCGGGAAGCAGTTTACTGGACGTTCGGCAAACATCGTTGCTATTGATACAGACTAAACCCAACATCAATTTCAGCTGGCGTGTTTTTTCGTAAAAATGAAGTTTCTTACACGGTGGTAAGAGTTTGTTGAAATTATTTCTTTTGTTGGCACACATTTTTTTTGTATGTGTTGGTATCATGCTGATTTCACGTTGTTTCGTTGAAAAATGTTCGAGAAGTTTGCGTGTGGTGGTGAACAACTCGATTTAAGTCAACTTTCGTTACAGTTGGCACAAGAGGACCACAACAAACAGTTTGCCTTTCTGTATATTTAAAAAAATAGCACATTTTTATGCACTTTTTTTTGGCAGAACGCTAAACTTTTCTGTTGATAAAAAAGCTTAAATTTTCTGCTAGTAGCTTATTTCAATATTACGTTCTTACGTTACATTAGCACAGCAAAGACGTTTTTTTTCTTTTTTTTTTTTGCTTAATTCGGAAAATATTTACAGCACTTGTGACTCAGCCTATATAGTTTGAAGCTATAATTTTACGAACAAATGTCGCTTACAGCCGAAATTAAAAACAATCCCTTGTATTAATCAAATTAATAATACAATAATTTGTATGGTATTACAAATAATTGTATTTGTAATATATAGGCGTATATATTACACCCCTATAACTTACACTGCTTATTGTGTGACTCGCACTGTCTACACAAGGCAACAAATATACAGTTTTCCAGCTCTGAAGAGGTAGTAGACAGAGACTTATATTTTAAGGTCTGTGGTTGGGAGAGTGGCTAATTATTTTCTGTCCTGTTAACTTCTCTGGAGAGTCTCTGCTGCTGATTAGCTGGAATTCATCTTGCTATGTGTTACAAATTGTTTTGCAAGAATTGAATAACATACACCACTTTTTTTTTTTTGCAGGTGATTGTGCTACAGAATTCACTCAAAATGAAAGCAGTTCAGCTTCAGCAGTTGACCTCTAAACTTCGCAAACAGAAAGTCGTGGTAAAGGACGACAAGCCGCGACGGGTGAGCAGATCCTGCTGTTTCTGTGTGTTTTATTTGCCAACAGCAACATCAAAAGTTAAAAACACTGCAGATATTTGAGTAGGGTTTTCCTGATGAGTTCTCATGCTCACTGTAATCAGTGACCTGCATTTTGGATATTGTCCAATGCTTTTAAAGAACCTTCTTCAAATGACCAATTGCCCTAATAATTAGTTTGGCTCCTTATAGAAAACAAAAATCAATCCTTGATTGCAGTGGCAATTTTATGCCTGTGTTTTATCCTGCCTCTTTTATGAATGCTCTCAGATTGACTTGAGATCCATATTCAGCTAAACATATGTGTCTCTGTGTATTCAGATTTTCAGGTAGTTAAATGGCTAAAGCTGTTTTAGCATCTGACTGGATGTGGTTGGTTGGAACAAATTATGTCGTATTTTATCTTTGCCCTCACGTCACAACTTAATAGCCTTTTGAGATGTTGAGCCTCTAATGAATGCTAAAGAAAACAGTTTATTAGGAGCAAGTTGGTAAATGAACAACTGTCACTGCCAATTAAGGGTCCAACCAGATTGGTGGCAATGGCATAATTAGGAAGTGCCATACTTCCATTGTTGCAAAAGATGTTAATGGTGTATATAAAAAGTACAATTCAGGAAATTTACAGTGTAGTTTTAAGTACAAAATAATACAGTCAAACTGAATTAATGTACCTTGAAAAGTCTGGTTAGATGTATTGAGTCATTCACTTTCATGCGTTCACTTCTACCAAGCAAGTGGAAAAGCAGGAAAAAACCTTCAATAGAACCCAGGTTGGTATTATTGGCTGTCTGCTGTGAGCAGCTTAGGGTTGAGAGAACTGAAAAAAGACAGAAGAGAAAGAAAACACAGTTAGGGAAGCAAAGCTCTATCAATGGCACCATCTATAAAAGAGACTACAAATTCAAAAGTACTGAACTGAAGTAATTTAATATATTATTTATACAACTTTTGGGTAACACCCTCTGTTAATTTTGTGGAATAAATTAAATTTCCACTCAAACATATTGTTTAACTCCTTGCCTTCCTTCTCTAAAGCAGCTTAATTGCTTCTGAATAGTGTTTTCTGAATCCAAACCTGTCGGTTGTTAAATATTGCATTTATCATAAGACTTCCTGCTACATTATTAATGCAGCTGAAATTCCTTTTTGACCTACCCCTGAAATGGGCTAAGTGCAGTTAGATGTTTCTTTGTCTCTGGCACACTGATAAGGAGGACTCATCAGATTGTGTAGCTTAGGTTTTAACCACAAAATATGGTTGATTGCTCTCACCAAACTAAGCTTTCTTCATTACTGATGTTTGATCTGACATTAAAGAGACAGCTAGTGCAGACTGGATAATAGACCCTGTTGTTTGATTACAGATGACGCCATCAGTTTTTAAACAAGAAATGATGCAGTCCTCAGAGGAGCGCCTGAATAACATCACAGAGGTTCATCTACCCCTCAGGCTCGAGACTCCAGAACGCTACACCACTCATTGCACGGTAGATGTCAGCTAATGTTGTCCTTCCTCCAGACCTTTTTAGTAATAATATACGAGATAAATCAGTTGTAATGATTTGAGATGACACATGAACAGTCGGTTCTAAGATTGGATTAATAAAAAGCTTGAATTTTGTGCTATTAAAACATTTTAAATGACAATCCTAACAATGAAATACTTAAAAACATGTTGTATGAAAGGTTTCTCATTATTCTTTTAGTGAATAGAGTCCATCAGTGTGCAATGTAGTCTTAGTACAATTACAACTGTTCCTTAAACAGCACAACATAGCTTATTACAGTTAATCTAAATTAACTGTAATTTAGAGGTTGGTCAGATGAGCGAGGAATAATGACTTGTGAGCGAGGAAAAGCATTAAAAGAAGAAGCAGTCAAAAGACTGAAGAGGTTTAGAGCTCATATGGGAGAATCTGTTGACAGGATACCTGTTAATCTTGTAGTCCATAAATCTACTATTGGTGGAAGCGTGGCAAGAAGAAAGCCATTAGTGAAATAAAGCCACGAAAAGCTCATTTCCAAGTTGCTAACAAGCCATGTTGATAACACAGCACACATGTGGACAAAGTGATCTGGTCTGATCACTGGGCTGCACCATTTTGGATTAATGGCAAAATAATATATCTGACAAATGAGTAGCAATGCACATTGGCCTGAACACACCATACCCATAGTGAGGAGCAGTTCTTTGGACAGCACTTCACTGTGGGTTTGGTGTCCTGATACTTTTATCATAGCAGAAACTGGGAAACTACAGAGTTGATATTGGGCCTGATACTTTCCAGCCGGAAAACAACTCTAAACATACAGCCAGAACAACAGTAAAATTGTTTAGATCAATTCATATTCATGTGTTAGAATAATCCAATCCAAGCTCTGACCTACATATGAAAATAATCTTTCACAGGACATGAAAATTGATGTTTGCAGAACGCTCTCCATCCAGTCAGCAGCTGCTACCTGACAAGAGTACTTTGCTGTCAAAAGTTCATTTAAGGCATTTAAAATTAATAAACACCTCC